AGAAGGAAGTTCAAGTGGCTCTACCAGCAGGCATTGATGAAGCAGCAAGCTATTTGAAGGGTTCCTTTATCAAAAGTGATGGTAGTAAAGAGGAGGGTAGAGTTGTTATAGTTAATGATAACAACACAGCCATTGTATCATGCACACCTCAAAGTATTGGTGGATATGAACTATCAGTGACTATAAGAGGTCGCCATATTAAAGGTAGTCCTTATCAACTGTCAGTAAAAGCATCAAGAGACTATACCACACTAACTAACCAGAGATCCTTTCATGTGGGGAATTATACTGCTGGTGTTACTGTTCATACTAATGGTGAAGTATTTGCTAGTAGTAGTGATGGGTTTGTTCAGATATTTAGTGAGGCTGGTACTGCAGTAAGAAGGATTGGATCTAAAGGTAATGGTGATGGACAGTTTGACTATCCTTGGAGTTTATTGCTAATAGGAGACAGGCTCTATGTGTCTGATAATAATCTTCATCGTGTGCAGTATTTCTCAGCTACTACTGGTCAGTATATTGGTCAGTTTGGTAGTAATGGTAATGGAAATGGACAATTCTCTAATCCTCGTGGTATGTCTACTGATGGTAAAGGTAATATATTAGTAGCTGATTTCAGCAACAAAAGAGTACAAGTGTTTAAAGATGGTACATTTGTACAAGTCATACAATGTGATGGCAATGCAACTGATGTAGCAGTTGATAATGAAGGAAAGATACACATTACCATTTGGTATCAACATCATGTTCAAGTCTTCTCTCCTGATGGTAAAACTCGTCTTGATACATACTATAATAATCCAGCTGGTAACTTTAATGATCCTTATGGTATTGCTATTGATGATGAAGGATATATCTTTGTATCATGTAACAATGGTTATCTTCATGTACTGAGTCCTGACAGGAAACAAGTCAAATTAATCTCAGGATTATCTAATCCATGGGGTGTAGCACTGGATAAGGATGGATATATTTATGTTGCTGAATATGGTAACAAATGTATAACGAAATATTAAAGTATTCATTTAATAAAACTGGAATAAACTAGAAAAATAATTTTACAATATATTGTATGAAATGATGTTTTGTCACTCTCTATCTCTTTTCCCTTCCATCTCTCTTTCACACACACAATTCTCTCCCTCCCCCTTTCTCTCTCCTCTCTACTTTAAGCGACTATTAATTATTATTGTTATTAATAGATTAATTTGATTCAAAATTTTAAAAATAAAGAAAAAGTAGAAAATCTCAAAATATCATCATCATCATTATATGCTAGTACATACACATGTTCCTAGTGTACACTATAATACATTATACATATGTTTTATACATCATAGTTAGATCACTAGGTGAATCAGTACCTGATAATAAACTGGGTCTACTCTCTCTTCCATTTCTATTTGAATTTAA